AGTAATAGATTATTAACATGTACCTACTTCCATGACCACCCATTATAATTATAATACAAAATATATATGAATCAGAAATATAGTATCCATTAAAAACTGAAAACTGATCAAAATACTTACTTAACACTTAACTGTTTCGTAGAATTATTCTTTCCTAACAGAGAGAAAATCTATAACATTTATTTTCACCCCTATAATAAAATAATACTTTCTCTCACAGCGATAGCAGCATTTTCCTTCTGGTCTCCAACTTTACCGATATCCTTTTTTTATTCATTTTTCACATCATATCAACACCTCAAACTCGTTTCAATCTCCAGATTATAAACCTTTTTAGCAGTAAATATTTGATTAAGGAATCAAAACATCATGCTTTGGCGAAAATTGGATTTTGAGATATCTCTTCGTCGGATACAATACGACTGTATGGAATTGTTACAAATAGGTGTATTTTTATAATGAAATAAAATTCAGAAGAGACGTTGTATTACGGGCATATAATATAAAATCTCAATAATGAAGAGTAGTAAAAATAAATGTTGCCAACATCATCTGGTAGTAAGACAAAATAAGAGTATATTTCCAAATAACTTTCAAAATAAAAAATTACTGTCACATTTAGCAAAAAATGTGGACTTGAAGGTATTTTAAAATAACCATAAGAACAAAATTATTATGTTAGCAGGTCGAAAAAAGTTACAGCGCTCGACACTGATTTTTTGTCAAATTACGTCTCTAAAAAAGGTACCGACATGCAGTTTTCACTGATATGTCCTTTGTCACCTTCAGCGCAATTATATCTGCGGTGATCTGTCAATTGCTGACTATCAGGTAGCTGATCATCAGTGTGCTAAATACAAACCTTATGTCTAGAGATCGGAAATGTTAGGGCGGCTGCAATATGGTACAGGGTTATCACGGAAATATTATTTTTGGGGGTGAACATGAGGGTTAGTTTGCATCCATTTAAATCCGTTTTAGGCTAAAAGAAAAAATATTAGTCCATATTAATATGTATTTACCTTTTTGAGATTAACAATGGATATTGAGCATACAATAATTTAAAGAAACACACGTTTACTGACGCACGCGCATTGACAATAGCGAATGAAATAATCTGTCTTTGTCATAAGCGTAGGAGTTGTTCACAACTTCGGTACCATGAGCGCGACAAAGCGTTCGTGATTTTTTGTCTTTGTCCTGGCAGTGTCGTAGGAGCTAAATATAATTCAAAATATGAAAAGGTAAATAAATTTGCATCTGTCTAAAAAACAAACGTAAAAAAATTCGAAGGCAACTTTTCATTATTTTAAATAATCAATCGAATAGTACAGAAAAAAAATTGTTTCAGTTTTGTTACATCATTAAAATTAACGATTAAAAATTTGAAATTGTTATAACTTTCTTATTAAAAATAGAAAATTATATCTATTTTTCTGAAAAGAAAATTAACATTTTTTAGAGTAGATTGAAAAAAAAATTACAAAATTCATTCACTTTTCTGGTTGTTATGATTTTTTTAAATTTCTGAAATCTTCCCTTAACTTCCAGCCTACTTAACTCTGTTAATTTTAATAGTACAAGAAAAAGTTCAGTGGCCATTTTTATGTAGAATTGTATGCTTTACAACTTTTATAAAAACTTGAACTGATTTCATTGCGGGCACCTATAGTGTTCATTAATGGCGTACAGAAAAAACCAGAGGTCCATTTTGTGGCTAAAATTAAGTAAATTTTGTTACACACACGTAGGCTCTTAAGGCCGCCGTTTCCGAACTGCAGGGTTTTCAAAATTAAAAAAAAATTAAAATTTTTAATTTTCTTAAATCCATTCAATCTAAGTATTTGTAAGTAGGTATTAGACGTTTCGCAAGATTTATTAACTATAATGAATCGATTTTTCTATTGTAATGTAAATGTAACTCTTAATATAAACAAGATAATAAAAAATGCATACGGGGTCTGCTATAAGAGTTTGCCGATTAATGCCATTTTAAAAATACCAATCTTCCAGGAAAGCATTTTTGTACAAAACTCGTAAAATGTCAGATGTGACGGTAAAATATTGCCATACGAGTTTAATGGGAACGCCCCATATAGACAAGCGGTTAAGCCGTCATATTTCAAACAAAATACGATTCAGATTGGAAACCTTTATCTTGCGTCGAGTGTACTTAATATGAGATCTGATTTTACCAAACTATATTTTGATATAATTTCTAACTTTGTTATATTGCATGCGTGCATTTTATAAACTAATTCATAAATTAACCTTATTTCATAATTTTGACAGCTTTGATACGTTTCATTGAAACATTTATATTTCTATGCTAAAAAACTTATTCTAAACTTAAATTCATCCATCATTACATTTTGTCTGTATTCCACATACCATTTTTGTGAATTTTCTCTCTTTTTAGGCCAAAATCTCTTAATTTATTTCAATAATTCAAAATTCTGTTCTCATTTCTGTATTTTCCATTTAACTATACAGAGATCCAGAATGATTGAAGCATTTGGGAAACGCAGCTCGTTTCTAACACCATCTTTACGTATACCAGACGAGTATAAAAATCTGTAGTACGGACAGAAACAGGCACAGGCTGCGATCTCCAAACACTTCAATCATTCTGGATCTCTCTGAATTAACAAATTATAATATCATAACAATATGTACGTATTTGCATAATAGTATGAAACAAAGGCAGTGTCTAGTTTTATACACTAAACAGTTGTCCTAAGTTAATCGCGGTTAATCCCATTTCAAGTACCCATTTCAAAAACGAAAATGACCGTTCAACATTTGCCGAGGTCACAGGCCCATATCTAAAATAATCGAAGTTTTTAATACATTCTATTTTTACTAATGGTGGAGAAGCATCAACTACTTCACATTTAGTAATCCTACTATCCGCGTCGTTGTAATAACGTGTCAATGTCTGCCTCTGATCTGAAGCTTCGCATCGATCAATTTATTCGATACGTATCTAGTGGCACCCTAAAAGTTGTCGCTCATTTGCCCGTTACAGCACGGCACAGCCTATTCCGTCACCGGATTCCGTACAGATTGAAATGAAACAAAGTGATTGAATGCGGTTGTGCATTCAATCGCCTTATATTTTATATTAACCATCCTGAAAATATTGGTGGACAATTTAAATACAAAAAAACTATAGGAAAATACAGTGTACATATTCATTAAACATTTAACTTACAAAACCATGTATACAAACTGTTTGGGTAAGAACATGTATCCAAATGCGTCTGTGTTTTTTGTTTTCCTTTTTCTTCGTGGATGGGAAATAAAAATTAAACACAAACTTTTGCCTACAAACAGTTAGTGCGCACATGTTGTATGGGCATAAATAGATTAATATTTTCCATTCAAGTTTCGAAATCAGTGAGTGTCATTCAACTCTCTTAAAACATCTTCAGGACGTTGCCGCAGCAGCGCGGCGCGTCGCTGCAAATGCTGCTCCTAAAAATATCCATATTTTTAAATGGAACAGTTCCCACATAAGCAGCACAGCGCGGCAGCAGCGCAGCGCGTCAAAATTCAACGCCTCTGAGAGCGTTCCATGCTGCTCTGACCTTCGTCGCGCTGCCAAGTGGACATTAGGAAGCAGCGAACACTGATGTGTCTTCGGCAAATCTCGATGACCATTTTAACGATAACAAAACTACACAAAAATGTGATTGTATGTCTTTATTACATTGTTTAATCAAATGTCGGAATTATGTGACTTTACGAAGTCCGAAGTATATAATAATTAAATACTTACCTTAAGAATACTGTCACCCTTTCACGAACTCCGATACATGATCGTCACTTGGTATCCCGTCGTGCCAAATAGGAAGAAACTATTTCTACGAGTTCATTAAATTTTTTTTGTGACATTGTCATATATTTATAAAATTTAACTTCATATTCCACCAATTTTCCCGCAATTAAATGAAACTGTGCGCCCAATATCTTTTCTTTTTTTCTTTCTCATGTTATAATATAGTAACCGCAAATACATCATCATCACTAGACGAGGATCTCGACATTTTGAAAATAAAATACGTTTGTTCTATTAGATACTCGGAATATACTGTTCTAAAATATTAACCGCTGCGCTGCTGCTGTACTGCTAAGTGGGAATGCCTACCAGCGCGGCAGCAGCGCTTCATAGCGTCGCTGCGATGCAAAAACTTGGTAGGCATTCCCACTTAGCAGTGCAGCACCAGCGCAGCGGTTAATATTTAAGAAGAGTAGTGTTCCGACTATCTAATAGAACGAACGTATTTTATTTTCAAAATGTCGAGTTCCTCGTCTAGTGATATCCTAGATATATAATTTATTAATATTGCCTTAATCCTACTTAGAAATGTAGAGTTTTGTCAGTAATTTTATATTACTCTAACAAAATCAAACTACCTGCATTTACTAACTACATATAATTAGTGATTACAAAGTCCAACAGTCACCGCGAAACGTCTGGTACCTCTCTCCCATAGCCAAATAGTGAGCGATATGTATCGAGATTTGCCGAAGACGTCCACTTGGCAGCGCGACGAAGGTCAGAGCAGCAAGGAACGCTCTCAGAGGCGTTGAATTTTAACGCGTTGCGCTGCTGCCGCGCTGTGCTGCTTATGTGGGAACTGTTCCATTTAAAATTATGGATATTTTTTGGAGCAGCATTTGCATCGACGCGCCGCGCTGCTGCGGCGCTGCTATGTGGGAATTGGCCTTAAAGGTAAACGTCCTATGTCGGTGGCACCCAAGAGGCAACAGCAGATGGTCATTTGTTGTAGCAAATAACATTGGGAAGCTTTTAGTGAATAACCAAAATTTTTCTGAAGAGAGGCTGTGTAATAGAAGGAAAGTAGTCGATGAATACAATAAATATATTTTTTAAAAAAGTACAAAATTACAAAAATTGTAAAAGCAATACAAAAACATAAAAAATAAATTGCATTATAATTTAAATAAATGATTATAAAGTTAAGTTACTACGACAATTTAAAATACATGTTTTAATAACTAATTTTAAAAAAATGTTTAATAACTTATAGTATCACATATAAATTTAGTATCACAGAGTGAGTAACATATTATGAATTGTAATATTTAAAGAATGGTCCTCCTTTTAAGTGCGTGAAGTTTGGTTAATACTGGAATTTTTGGAGGAACATTGTTATTTTTATCTAATTCTGTAATTAATTGTGCTATTGAGAAACAGCCATTTTGTTGAGCAATTAGTAAAGGTGTATACATCGAATTATTTAAGCAATTGATATATTTTTTGCTAAAAAGAAAAGCGAACGCTTTAGCATTGCCTACAGCTGCAGCAACATGAAGGGGTAGATCTCCATGTACAGTGGCAGCATCCAGTTTTCCATTGTATTTTATTAATAATTCTAACACATCAAAGCTGTTTTTTGTTTTTGCGGCTATATGTAAAGGAGTATAATCATCCAAATCGTTTTGATTAACGTCGGCTCTGTTTTCTAAAAGTAATTGAACTACAGAACTAGAATTAAATTCAACAGCCAAGTGAAGGGGAGAAGATCCATTCACATCTTGAGAGTTTACATCGAGTCCTTCGTTTATTAATTGCATGCAAATAGTTTCTTGATTATTTTTTGCAGCCAAGTGCAGTAGAGTACAGTTTTGGGTATCCATGACATTTAAATCAGCTTGCTGATCTATTAATAGCTTCAAGATATCTATCTGTCCATATTGAACAGCTAGTTGGAGAGGAGTTTCTCCTGAATTGAAAAGAAAAAGTTTTAAAATCAAAATACTAAATTAGAAATATATAGGGTGAGTCAGTTTTTTGTAGTAGGATTTTAACAGTTGATAGAGAATCATTTTTTAATAAGAAGAGTTCTTATAAACGTAGGTCTTAGAACGCTTCGTTTGTGAGATATAGGGTGTTGAAAACAAACTTTTTTTAAGAATTTTTCTTAATAAATGATTATTTTCCAGAAAAATCCACGGGCGTACGAATCATTTTTTTAAAGGGGGCAGTAACCCACCTCAGGCACGTCACTGGTGGGTGAAATGGATAACAGATATCTTTGTTTTATTCAACATAACTAAGGTATTATTAATAATCAAATTTCAGTTTAATATCTATTGGTCTTTTAGAGATATTAAGAAAAATTATTAAAAATAATTTGTTTTCAACAGCCTATATCTCACAAACGAAGCGTTCTAAGACTTACGTTTATAGGAACTTTTCTTATTAAAAAATGAATCTCTATCAACTGTTAAAATCCTACCACGAAAAACTGACCCACCCTGTATAAATAGTATATTAAGTATTAAGGTCAGTAAGATACTTAATGACCGCTCAAATATTCAATAAATTTAATTAAAGCTAAAATAATAATAAATTTAGGCCCGGTACTTTGAGTCTTGGTTAAAGCTTGATTAACTGATCAGGCGATTAGACTGTACATATACTAATTTATTTTATAAACTATAATCACAGTCTAATCGCCTGATTAGTTAATCAAGCCTTAACCGAGACTCAAAGTACCGGGCCTAAATATTTTAAAAATATACAGGATGTTTCTTAATGATATGTGAATTTCTAAGGGTGTGATTCTACATAGAAAATTAATGACAGTTTTTATAAACTATGATGCGTCAGCACATTTTCAGTGTAATGGTTCGCAATTATTTACAAACTGTTTATCTAAATCGTTGTATTTCCCCAAGAATGGCCACCAAGGTCCCCCGACATCGATACCTTAGATTTCATTTTATGGGGGCCATCTTAAGGCGCTAGTACACACAAGTACAAAAGTTGTAGTAAAATGTTACTATAATAAAGAAAAATATTTAAAAAAAAATAAAAATAGGATTAATGAAAATTGTATTATTCGATAATCAAAATTTAGAAACGTTTGTTGATATAATTTCAAATCAAAATATTTATAATAAAAAGGCAATAGTAAAATTTTATACATACATTAAAAATATCATACATACAGGGATGGCCAGAAGTACGGAATAAAATTCATATCTTTTGAATGAGTTAATTTTTTTTAAAAACGCCGAAACACGTTAACTGATTTTGATGTTTTCCCATCTTTCGGTTATATAATAATTAATTTTTCTTCAACCCCCTAATGGAAACATAAGGCATGAGGGGGCTCGTTGAAAAGCTTATAGAAAACTGAATCCAGGATTCAGTTTTATTTTTTCAATAGCAAGGTTTTTAGGTTGTATAAAACACCTACTTAACAAGTGAAATAAAATTTAATTATATTCAGTGTTATTCTCCATGAATTTGCACAGAATAAAATAAAGAATTTGAAACTGTACCTATCACTGCTAACGCAAAAAAAGATATATTTTTTATGTTGCGTTTTTTTGGCACCACTTACTTGCCAGGCTTTCTGGTTAATTTTTCGCTTTAGTTGTAAATTGGAGTTCGAAACGTTACTATTGTGTCAAAATCAAGTTATTTACTGAATTGCAATGGTATTGTCGGAAAGGCAACGCATCGAAATCTTGATATTGCTTGGATGTGGAGACAAAATAAGAAGTCAGGCTGAAGTGCGCGATTTATTTAATGCGAAATATCCCGAAAACCAAATCTCGCAAGGGACAGTTAGTAAAATATTTCACAAATTTGAGGAACACGGTACAGTACAGACTTTGCCCAAAACTGGACGGGCACGTGCTTTGAATGAAGAAAAGAAATTAGACATTGCATTAGAACTTGTTGAAAATCCTCATACTTCAACTGTTTCATTGGCCCGCAATCACGATGCTTCTCGAACTGCAATTCGAATGTTTCTGAAACAAGAGAAATACCACCCCTATAAGGTATGTCTTGTCCAAGAGCTTTTGGAAGACGATTATGATAGGCGATTACAATTTTGTGAGGAAATGATGAGACGGTGTGACGACAATAATGGTTTTCAACGAGACGTACTTTTTTCGGATGAAGCTACGTTTTATTTAAATGGAGTGGTTAACAGGCACAACTATCGCTTTTGGTCCCAGGAAAATCCACACTGGACATGCGAATCGCATACGCAGCATCCACAAAAAGTTAATGTATGGGCAGGTATCATCAACAACAGAATCTTGGGCCCATTCTTTTTTGAAGAAAATCTTACTGCCGCACGCTACCTGGATTTCCTAACATTTGACCTGATACCTGCTCTAGCTGTGATTTTCCCTCATGAAATTGATCCAGATATACCGAATGAAAGAATTTGGTTCCAACAAGATGGCGCTCCCCCACATTTTGGTATTGATGTTCGAAGATACTTAGATGAAATGTTTCCAAATCGCTGGATTGGTAGACGGGGTACAGTTGAATGGCCGCCAAGATCCCCCGACTTAACACCCCTGGATTATTTTCTTTGGGGATATTTGAAAGAAAGAGTCTACCAGGACAGACCGGATAATATTGAGAATTTAAAGAACAAGATTAGGGCGGAGATGCATAATTTACCAGCTGAAGTCATTCAGAATGCTGTGGACAGCTTTTACTATCGTCTTGGAGAATGCCAAATAGTGAATGGAGGACATTTTCAGCATTTGCGACATTGAGTTTATTTTTGTAAATTATCTAGTTGTTTCAATTTCTAAATGAAAAAAAACTTGTTATTGAAAAAATAAAACTTGTTTATTTGGTATGGCTGGATTCGGTTTTCTATAAGCTTTTCAACGAGCCCCCTCATGCCTTATGTTTCCATTTGAAAAAAAAGTAGGGGTAGGTGGGGGTTAGGGGGTTGAAGAAAAATTAATTATTATATAACCGAAAGATGGGAAAAAATCAAAATCAGTTAACGTGTTTCGGCGTTTTAAAAAAAATTAACTCATTCAAAAGATATGAATTTTATTCCGTACTTCTGGCAATCCCTGTATATTCAAGTTTTCTCTGAAATATTGAAAATAAATTGATAATAGGTTTAATATTACAATAGTTTTCCAAAGCAGCAATACATACGTTAAGGACTATTTTATCAAAAATTCGACCGCAAAATGAGATAAAATTTTAAAGACTGAATTAGATATATTTTGTTAATGTAGTAAACGTTATGTTGGCAACACTTCGAGACCTTTGAATCGGAGAACATCAGAACTATATTAGAAATGGAGAATTTGAAAAACAAGGAATTTATTACTCACTGGAATGACACATACATTTTGGAAAAAGAAATAAGAACTAAAAGAGTCCGTGTGTTTATTTTGTTAAATGGCAATTTATGCGTTTCAAATAATTTCTTAAATTTTGATTTGTGTTGGTTGAATATTCTCATTTCATTCGAATATGAATTAATAAGGAGTTTTCTGATTTTTCAATATCATCCAATTTTAATTTATAAAGACGACGACATGCAAATAAAACAAAAATTGATGCAACTTTTATTCAAAAATGTATTAATTTTTTCCCCACTCACAAAATAAAATGTCACTTTTAGAACTTGTATCATAAATAACTATTTCATGAAATACATAAAATCAACTTGAAAACATAAAATTACCTACCTGCCTCTGTTGTCACATTAGGATCTTCCCCTGCTTGTAGTAGCACTTCAACAAGATTTATATCGTTAAATTTTACACCCATATGAATAAGCCTTTCACTGCTGTGATTTGAGATCTTCAGATTCACATTTTCCTCAGACAACAGACACTGAGTTAATAATTTGTTCTCTCCTTGAACAGATTTGAAAATAGGAGTTTCACCATAAAAATCGATTGAGTTGAGTTTTGATCCATATTTCAGCAATAATTTGACTACGCTTAATTGGCCTCTTCGACAAGCTAGATGTAGGGCAGTTTCTCCACGTTTGTTCAAGATATTTGTATAAGCTGATAGCGATAATAATTTGTCCACAGTCTCAATATTACCTACAAAAGAGTGTATTCTAATTAAAATAAGTAAAGCAGGCAGAAAATCTTACAATAGTGTAGGGTTTTGTAATAAAAACTATCTTTTGTGAAATACCTTAAATATGTTGGTAGTCCAGAGTTAATTGTTATAGGGTATCAATGTATCTGATCTAACGATAGAAAAATCAATATTAAAACTTAAAACACTAAAAGTGTTCACTCAGGTGACGTATTATTTTTGAATATAGGAAATATTAAATGCATAAAAATATTTATTAATAATTTCATGAGTAGTTTTCTAGGCCTCTTGAGAAGCTCTTTCATAAAAATTACTATTTTGTGTCATTATTTAATCAAAATGCTAGGGACCATTTTTAAAGATAAAAAACCCTCAATTACCCTTCTGCTACTGTGAATAAAGTCCATCCTTGATATCGGATTATTATAATCAATAATTTAAAAATCTGTACAGATTTTTATTTGGATCTGCCCTTTTGAGGTTACGTAAAAGAAATAATTTTTGGAGTATGGCCCATTTGTTTTCGGACACCCCGTACATTAAAATATAGAAACTAGTTGACTTTGTCAAAACTGATGTCTTTTCAGAAATTTTAACGAGATGACTTTTTGTGTAAAATTTAATTTTAGGTACATTATAATGTATGAATAATATAAAAAGAAACTATTTTCTATGATATTATGTTATAAAATATCACTGAAAGATATCTTAGCTAATGAACTTTAGCAGAGATAAAAAATTAATAGTAGGTACCCAAAAACTTGTCTGTATCCAATTTCAATACAACACATTGCCGTTTGAAAAAGATGTTAAACTTTGATTCTAAAAAAAATATTTTTGACACCTTATATGCCAAAAGCAAAAGATGACCCATTATTGTTCATAGAAAAAAACCTTTTAACCTTTTTAATGTTTTAACAGCTGTTGAATATATGGTACCTATCCTATTTTGAATCATTTTTATAGTAAAACTCATACTCAAAACTCACTGACATATAAATGTAGAGTTACTATTTATAAAAAAAAACATGCTGTCCATTCCAGCTTTTGCTCAAATCTAATCTAGTTTATGCAAATTAATTCTGACATTGCCACATTTTTGCAGTCGCAAAAAATGTAGTACTGCTCAATGAAAATTTTCTGATATCAAAACAGAGCAATTGAGCCAAATATGCCTCAATGAAATGTTGCTCTATTTCAATCTACAGCGACGCTAAATAAGCACGAAGAAAACGTATCAGGTTCAGAGGCTCGAACATGGTCAGAACGGCAGAGCCGGGGAGTGGAAATTGTGCCCAACAAAACCGGACCATTCGAGAAAGCCACCCGCCAAGACGCCTCTGCCTGTTCATCAATAAAACATAAAATTATAAAATTCCATATTCTCAATGAAAAATAGCCACACGAGCTTACATAACTCCTCAAGTTTCCGGCCTAGGTCGATCCTACCTGCTGCGTAGGCCCTCAAAGCTCTTAAGCTTCCATAAACAGCTCTAATCCCTCTTACGAGACGCAGCGAACTTTCTCCTAAAGCTTACAGGCGCTCTTGGAGGCCTCAAATAACTATTATAAACTGAAGTGACCCTAAAAACCCATGGCAAAACAGTGTAGGGTCAGTTGAATCCCTCCAAAATCAAACTTTTAACTTAAAAGCAAGTAAAGTGCCCAAGTGCATCGCCGAACTCAAATTAGAGCGCCGCAACTAGCTCGACAGTCCAATATTTTAGTTCCACAATAGCCTGAACTATCTTACTAATTGGACAGTTCCAATCTTCATGTTCCACGACATGGCGCCCAACGTGAGGCTTGATCAACAAATGAGCCAATGCCAGTCTTGCTGTTTCAAGACAATACCTTTAATTCTAGCTTCATTTTGTTATTTGAAGTATAAATTACGAGTATACCTATTTGGCTAAATCTTCTAAAATATCTAATTGCAGAACGCCACTTACTGGTGGTATTATAGATACCTCATTTGTAATGTATAACATTGTAAATTTTATTACAAAGTCTTAGTAATTTTTAATTTATTTTAAATGCGTTAAGCTAATTCAAATACATTCAAAATATTGAAAAGATCCTATCAAATGAAGTCAAACAATGCTGTGTTATACCAAAAAACTGGGTATGCAAAAGTTATCTAACCTCTTTCATAGACAAAATTCCTAACTAATGATATTGCGAGAAACAGCTACCCTAGGGGCTACATGCCCCAACTGGCATTGAATTATATTATCAATGTCGTGTAAACAGCTAGTAATTAATAATTGCATATGACATATTGCCAAATTGTTACATAATGCAATGTTTCAGAGAAATATATTGCATTCATGTTGTTCTAACATACAGGGTATTTCAGTTCGAGTGAATCTAACTTTAACCACAAATAGAACTCAATAAATAATTCAGAAATGCCTTATAAAGCAAGGGTCTAAGTCTCACCGTTTTCACTGTACAGGGCCGTATTGGTCGGTTGTAAAAATCATATTATTTACGAAATCTTTGGTACACTTAAGTATAACAAATTTATTCAAATTTGGTGTGGTGTTACATAATAATTTACTGTAAAATTTACAAATTTTTGTAGGTCAGTAGTGTAGGAATGGGTAGTAAAGCGGTATTTTTTACCCCGACTTCTACGCCAATGACCTAATAATCATTTGGGATACATTTTTAGATTCCGTGGACAGTTCTACATAAAAAAGGTATACTTGTTGAAAATCGGTATAATGGATCGTTTTACTGAAAATCTCGGTTGAATGGGAGACCGTTCTTCTGATAAGAAAGAACCCCGCACAAAACATATGGAAATTGAACACCTGTCAATTTTTTTGAAACTTCGTATTTTGATAGTCCTCGTCATTCTGATCAAATGTTTCCATGGGCACGAAGCCCTACAAGCCCTTCCAGCCCTCCAAAACCACCCCCAAATATCAGGGTAATGAAGTTTACAGATTACAGGTTAATTGGCTTACCATAATATTTCACTACTGTAGTCAAACCTACAGACACATATACCATAACTAGGCTTAAGACTGTCAATGGGCACCGAGCCCTACAACCCCCGCCAACTCCCCAAAACCACATTCAAAGGTCAGGGGGATGCACTTGACAGATTATCGGTCAATAAAACTACCGAAATATTTTACTATTGCAGTCGAACCTACAGCCACCCAAACTGTAACTAGGCTCCAAATCACTTAACCCCCCATCCCTCTTCCTCCCCACCAACTACCAAAGCCTGTCGTGTGACTTTTCTCTGCTTACTGGTTGTGTAACTGTTTAATCGTGAATTCCATCTCACAGCCACCTAAACGATCACTACTCTATAATCTCCGACGCCGACCCCCGACAATTGAACAACCCACCCCCAACCCAAATCCCACGGTTGGAGTCGGACCAATCCCAGTACTTATAGAAACCTGACATGACTTTTGCCTGCTTACGGCTTATGAAACCGTTCAATCTTGAATTCCATCCTACACCCATCTTATTGTTTAATGCCCTTTAACCCACAAAAAGTACCAAAACCTGCCATAAGATTTTTTTGCTGTTTGTGGGATGTGAAACCCTGGCTGTGGGTTCGACTGCAGTAGTAAAATCATATGAAGTACAGCATGTGTGAGTAGCTGCCAATCTCGCTCCACATAAAATTAACTAGTTTCGTGGTGTTTTATCGGAAATAATTTATTTTTTACGTACGGGGCGTGAATCCAAAGTGTTCTGTGCACCCCTGTAATTATTTTAAAGTAAAAAACTTACTGTTTCGCAACAAATAGCAACTTTAGCATACTTGGTTACCTGGCATCTGGATAGTTGTATAGTGTGGTTAAACGCGTGAGCAGTATGGGAGGCGCAAAAGCAGCGCTCAGTGGTTCCAGCAGCATTGATGATTCTAATCTATGTCCTGATCAAGCTATGGAAAAACTAATTACTAAGGTATGCGTCAATTTTGCCAATCAATTAGAGCAAAAAATGGACAAAAAGTTTGAGAAATTTGAGGAAAAACTTGATGAAGTATCCAAATCCTTCAAATCTCTTGATGAGAGAATCAACTGTAATTCAGAAATTTGTGTGTCTCTAAAAAATAAGTTAGAGTGTACTGAACAATTATTAAAAAGAAACTCTTTAAGAGTATATGGTCTAATTGAACATGAGGATGAGAATACTTTGGATACCATAATCTCCTTTTTCAATTCTAAGCTCAGTATTGTATGTGATATACAGGATTTTGATTCAGTTTTTCGCGTTGGTAAATTGGGTTCCAACAAGTCTCGTAGCATTTTGGTGAATTTTGTTTCTAATGTCAAGAGGAATGAGGTCTTCAGTGCTAAAAAACTACTGAAAAATTCCCAATTTGCAATTTTCGAGGATCTTACTTCCCAAAGGTATGATCTTTTGATATCAGCAAGAAACAAAATTGGTAAAAATAAAGTGTGGTCTGCTGGTGGTAAAATATTTGCCTGGAGTGATAAGGATGGAAGGAAAGTAATTATTAATTCAGCCAGTGACTTTTGTATGTTTTAGTATTTGGTTTGTTTTTTTTGTTTTTCATTACTTAGTGTTAATTCTTTATTTACTCGAATTTTATCTAATTCACATAATTTTAATTGTATGGTAGGACTATAATCCATTTTGCTTTTCAGCTAGATACTTACTATTTGTATCGTTCTCTTTTTATAGATTTATGTTGATTACTTTTTGCGCGTGAACCAACATGAAAAATTTCTTCGATAGGTAATATACCTATTTGTTTAAGCTGTAATTCAATATACAACATTTAATAAAAATTCACTTACTAACACATTTTATTTTAGTAGGTTTAGATTAATTTTTTCACATGTATCTTAGTTTACTTTAATTCCGTTTTTTTTACTTGCTTGTATCATAACACCACAATATTTATTTATATTTATATTGATTTATACTACACAATTATGTTGGAGCGTTGATGCGGTTTATGCAAAGCACATGTATTAATTTTTCGCATTTTAATGTT